GTGGTCCCAATGCCTTGGGTCAGCAGTAGCACGAGATCGTCTAAGGAGAGAGCGTGGATAAAGAAGAGACAAGAGTCTGAGTGAGAACACCAGAGCACTTATGCAAGTCCCAGTTCTCATCGTTCTCTGGAAGTTTAAACATTGCAAGACTTCCATCAAGATAGAAGATAAAATCAAAGAAAAACTAGGAGAGTATCAGTTACAACACTGATGTGGAGAAGCCTCTGGTTGGCACAACCAAGTGATTACCGTCGCTCTCCTCTCTCCGGGCTAGACTGGGTGCCCCTTGAGAGAAAGGGCCACCACTGTGTCCCATCGCTGGCACATTGTCCAGCACAAAGGGGAGCTCCAAAAATTTACACGCTCACTGTAAATTACAAGATGTCGCAGAGACGGTACTGCTCTTTCTTTGGGTACTGCCAGGCTTCGGCGGTACTCGCTGTGGTCCCAACATGCACTGGACACTAACATTTCTTTTTGACAACACTGACATTTCTGAAAGGAGAAATCTACAGACATCTTTATTCCCCAGCAGTTCCTTCACCATCTTTTCTCTCATACCCTTGGGTTCACTCTCTTCCTGGGTGGGGCAGGGATGTTCCTTTTTCTTTAATTAAATGCAACAAACATTCAGTGAGAACCTTGTGTGCATGCTGGCTTCAGCCCCACAGGCATTGAAGGAGGACAGAAGACGCTCCCTGTTCAGTGCAGAAGATGAACAGAGAAACCATCGGGGTCATGTATGAGAGCAGAAATGAACACCAGGAATAGGACTGGCTCCAAGGGAGATGCTTCCTTCCTGTGATTGGCTGAATGGGATCATTTTTATATTGTAACCTGAGGGTGGTCCTGTGGAAGTTGTTTTCCTTTAGAAAGAAGTGATATCCCCAGCACCTAGCACTGTGCCCAGGACCTAGTAGACGCTCAATAAATACTTATTTCCTGGGGAGCAAGATATCAGAGTTGTCAAGAAATCAGACTCAAAAAAGTCCTCATTTTGAATCCTGGACGGGCTTCCTCCCAGCTGGTTGTTGCACCGCTCTGAGCTTCCATTTCCTCATTTGTAAGCCCACCTTCCAGGGCTAAGAATTTTGCATGATATTGGACCTGGGACAGTAAATGCATGTGTACACACACACACACAGAGTTGCTTTCTTTTCCTTTCATCTTCCCTGTGGTTTTCCCTGCCCCTTTCACAGGTGTTTCCTCTACAGATCTTTGAGAGAAGGGAGAAAGAAAGGCCTTGAAGAATTCCTGGTGACTCTGAGAGCCACCAGCAGGTGAGATGGGAGGGAGAAAGGAAGGGTTGGGCAGTGAGAGGCCTGGGATGTAGGGGCAGGATATAAGGATACCAGAATGCAGAGAGGGGAGCACAGTATACACAGAGGAGGGAAACAGAGGGCGGCCCCCAATGCCTCTGCATTTTGAATTATAGTCCCTCCTGGTGTTACAACACTTTACACTTTACACTTCTCACATACATCATCCCATCTGCTTCACACAACAGTCCTGAGACCTCGGCAGCGTGTACACCTCCATCCTGATTTTACAAATGAGGAAGTGAAAGCTGAGCGTGGTTAACCAACTTGCCCCAGGTCACGCATAAGAAGCAGAATGAGCCGGAATCTAGGCCTGACTCCCAGTTCTGCACTATTGGGAGCACTCTTTGACAAGCCGTCGGCAAGAGAGAGCAGCTAGAGAGAGCGCCGGGTCCAAGGAGTTCATCAGAAGCATTCTCAGACCCTGTCAGTGTCTGCAAGGGGCTTGTGGAGGGGAAAATAGAAGGCTCTAGTTGGCTGGAGGCTAACAAATAAAGGAAGCAAAGGTTGAAAAGCTTGCAATAAATCATCCACGGATTTTCTTCAAGATTCCTGGTTGACTGAACAATGAAACTGACAGGCAGAAAGCAGACGGCAGAGGAGGGTCTCAGATACTGAAGGGAGGAGGGAACTAACTTGTGTTAGGCAGCCACTGTGCACTAGGTCCTTGCTAGATCTATGACCTGCATTATCTAATTTAATCCTCAACCAACCCTGGGAGATAGATGCCGGGATCCTCATGTCTGGGCGTGGGGGACTAAGGGTCAAAGAGGTGATGCAAAAGACCCACAGGCTTGCAACTGGTAAGGATGCAACAGGGCAATCAATTTAGATCTGCCAGGCTCTGAAACCCATGCCTTTCCACTAGTGCATGCCCTGGGGAGGCCAGAGGGATTTCACGTGGGATTTCTCAGAAGGAAATGAAAGAAGAGAGTCTGAGGAAGATGTTTGAAAATGTAGGTTCTATATTATTTAGGTATGATGAGGCCAACAGATCAGGAGATGATTGTCATTGAAAAGATACTTGCTCACAGTTCCCAAGAGGAGGAGGCATGCCACCCCACGCAGCGCCACCTGGAGAAGCACCAGGATCAGTCAGGAGGCAGAGGAAGTGGGAGAAAAATGTGGACAAGAGCCTTTATTGTGGTTTCCAAGGGAAGGAACAGGTGAGGCATTGTAAGCAGGCTTAGGATTAGCTAGTTTGAATCATTTCAGTGGGCTCTGGAGTCAGAGTTGTCTATAATCGTCTGTACTTGGCCATGGGATGACCGGAGCAGGGGAATAGCAGTCCAGACTGTAGGAATTCCATAAAGGAGGTGGTAAGGATGTAAGCTTTGGATTGGTTGATTTGCATATGAAAGGCTAGCTCTGGGAGGGCCAAGAAATCCCCAGATATCAGAAACACATGGTTCTTACAGAAGAGCAACGTTCAACCAGCCAAACAGGTTGCATCACAAACCCTCCAAAGTGGCTACTAATGGTGCTCCTGGGTCTTCTCTATGTTCTGGAACCACAGAGTGGAACTTCATAACAGCAGGAGAAACCTCTCAATAGAATTACCATCATTTATAGAAGGCAGGATGGGCATTATTTTCAGCATCCAGACAGCAAGTAATTGCAGATCAAATGACCCAAGTGGATAAACTAATTAGCATTAAATGAGATTAATCAGAGTAAGCTCTGTTATTCCTGTATCAGGAACGTCAAGACATTGTTTGCCAAAATGAAGAATTGCATGTAAAGCATGTGTGTGTGTGTGTGTGTGTGTGTGTGTGTGTGTACAGTGTACACACAAATCAGGCTTGCAGAAAAACAAAAGGCATTTGAGGTGGCCAGGAAAATATGATGCGGCAATGGACTGAAGAATTGTTCTCCCAAGTTTATTTTTTGCCCTTTGAATGGTTCACGGATATAAATAGAAATTGAATCTGCCTCCTCTATGACTTATCCTTAACAGTATTTGTCAGTGCCAATAAAGGTAAGGAATGGAAATAGGAATCAGATAAACCTGTCAGCATTTCTTAGACTAAAGATAAAATTTCTTATCATGGCTTATAGGGTGCTGCAGACTCTAAGTTCTACCTCCATTTCTAACCTCATCTCACACTGCACTCTACCCCACTGCCTACAATGGTCTTTGCTCCTTCATTCAGCTCTCTCTCAGTCATTCTTCAGTTCTGAGGTCTAGCACCTCTCCCTCAAGAAAGAATTCAGTGACCTCCCGGTCAGAGTCAACCCCCCCAAACTATGCTCTCATGACACCAATTACCTCTTCTTCATAACACCTGTCACAGTTGACTTCCACATTTGCTTATGTAACAATTCGTTCAATGGCTACCTCTCTCATAAGGCTGTAAACTCTACAGGTAGGTAAAAACTAAAACTGTTTTTATTCACCAGGGTAGCTCAGGATCCTAATATATAGTAGATCCTAAATAGATATTTGTTAAATAATAATGAATGAACTTGGATTCTCTTCCCAGACCCATGTCTGCACAGCTTTTCCTTCTCAAGCAAGTCATTTTCCCTCCCTGAGCCTTTCTTTCTCCATCTATAAAATGGAAGAGTTGATTGCAATGATTTCTAAAGCCTGTCCTGTTTCTATGCTATTGAGAGCTGTTTAAAGGCTTTCTATGTTCTGTGGGGAGAAGTGTTATCTCCTAGGGAGGTCCCTTTCCTCATCATGGCAGGGAGAAAAGGGCTTATTTAACATAGAGAAGGCTGGGAGGAGAGAGGTACTTGCAGTGTGAAAGAGAGTTCAGGGAAGTCCTCACTGATAAGGTGATATTCAAAAAGAGACTTGAAGGAAGTAAGAAAGTGAGACAGGGATATCTGGGAAAGAGCAGTCCAGGTAGAAAGAAACAGCTGATGAAAAGACCCTGAGGCAGGAGAATCCTCAGCAGGTTGAAGGGTTAGCAAGAAGGCAAGGATGGTTGGAGCAGAGTGGGCTTGGGAATGATGATAAGCAATGAGGACCAAGAAGAAAGGGTGGGAGGGGCAGACCACACAGGGCCTGGTGGGCCATTGTAAGACTATGGCTTTTATAGAGAGTGAGATGAGAAACCACTGGAGGGCTTTGAGCAAAGGAGTGACATAAACTTAGGACTTAACTGGTTTCCTGGATGACGGTGAAAAGATTAGCTCTTGTAGACAGCTTATATTTCCTATAGGTGTATATTCTCTGGAGTTCCATTTCCATAAATCCATGTTATGCCATAAAGATACTGCAATTACTGAAGAAAACAAAAGAACACAAGTGTATGCTTTTAAAAAAATAGATGGCCTTGGAATTCCAACCACCTATTCCTTTACCTTCCTTTCCTTTGACCTCTGTGTGTATGGTTTATACAAACATGCACCAACTTTGGAGTAAACCTAAAACTTGAATGTAGTCTCTGACACTTGCCATTTATGAGACTTCAAGCAAGTAATCACTTAAATGCCTGGGATCTTGTGAGCAAAATGAACACAGAAATATACGTCAATATATGCCACACTGGGCTTGTGGGAAGGTTAAATGAAAATGCACATGTAATATCCTTAGCATGGTACTTGGTGCATACTTGGCACTCAAGAGATGCTCATTTCCTTTCCTCCCCTTCCTTTTGCATGGCTGGAACAATAATTAATATGGGAATGGGAGGCTGGGATTTGGGGCACATTAAGATCATGACAATATCGTCCGTTCGAACAGAACTTCATTATGTTTTCAAGCACCGTACCAGACACTTTTGTGAGCTATCCAGAAGAGACATAATTATCCCCATTTTATAGATGGCAAGAGTAAAATCCAGCAAGTTAGAGCAGCTTGTACAGAATCACAGAGCGAATCCATGGCAAAGTGGGCGTTGTGAGTTTCACACTCCTTGTGCCCATTTCTCTGTGTTCCTTCTCGCCACTTCAGTGTATGGCTTCAGTTCAATTGCACAGTCGACCAGTTTCAAAGAACAATGGGCTCTGTGAATGATTTAAATAACAAAGGCAGTCTCTATAGGCGTTATCCACACCATGCCGAAGAATCTCTTCTATTGTCCCCCAGAGGTGTAAAAACCACATTTGAAAGACTCAAGGAGCTCTGCAGCTTTAGGTGGACTAACTCTGCTGGAAGAATTGCAGATGCTAAGTTCTTGGCTTGCCTCGCTGATGGTCTCCGCTCAGCTGGTAGAGGAAGCAGCAAGAACTGCCATTCCGGACTGGATTCAGATCAATAAGGAACAACTGACTGCTTATCTGGAAATAACGATGAAATGAAAGAAACAGGTCAGCCTGGACCAGCAGAGAGTGAAGCGGGGAAGCCCCACCCCCGCCCCCACCTCCCCAGGCTCTAAACTTTGATAATGCAGATGTCGAACGTGAGAAAAAAATGGACAGGATCCCAGGAACTGACTCTTCAAAAAAGCAAAACACATAAGACAGAAGGACCCTAAAAATGAAATCTGACAATATAATTTAAAATATTCCAAGCCAGAGATGAAAGAAAGAGACACCTTAAGAAATTAATGTGGCTGCACACGTAGGGTCTTTGTCCTAGGTAGGGTCCTTTTGGGTGCAAGGAACAAATCACTTTGAATTAACTTGAAAAACTCAAATAAAGAGGAATACATTAAAAGGATTTTGGAATGAATCACAAAACCCAAGGGCAGCAAGCCTCTTTTGTGATTGTGACTATCAAACAATAAACTCAGATTTGTGAGACGTATTACATCGACTTATGTCTAGTTTTGATTCTCCCATTTTGCCAATATGGAGGGATATAAAATCTGGGTTACTTGGGGGCATCCTTGCCCACCTTTGTCCAGGCGAGCCCCCGAGAACAGAAGAGGCCTCTCCAGTCTTTTGTCAACAGTCCTCAGAGTTTCCACCCATTGTTCCATTTTTCCCATTGTCCTAGTTTGTACTTTGGATCTGTAAGCTCTGTTATTTTCTTGCAGAATCAGATAGGATTCACTTTGGCTGCATACAAAAATTAAAAGCAAAATAGCACGGGCTTAACGAAGATAGAAGTCTATTTCCCTTCTCATATAAAACAAAAAAATCCAGCCACTTTTTACATGGGTGGCCAGCTAAAATTTGGCATATTTTACTAAAAAGAAGAAAAGAATAGAAATTGGGAAACCCCAGTCTGTCCTCCCTGCCATCCTCTGGCATGGGGACGTCTGATGAAGCTTGGGAGCAGTGTTCCTCTGTCTCAGACTCTTGTGACAGCCCTCCCTCCCCTCCGAGGATCAGCTCTGTCCTCAGATACTGCTTCTGAACGTTGCATAAGCTGCTGCCCTTCCAGGCCATTCTAATCTCTACTCTCTACCTGCTCTGCTTCCTCCAGACACACTCCAAGTCCTTGGCGGCGTTCCTCTCTCCTTTCACCCTCTGGAACATGCAGTGCTGCTCTTCAATTAGTTTTGGGCTTTGGAAAAAAAACTAAGATAATAAAAATAACTTGCACGTATTAGTTCCTTTATGACTGGATGGTAATTGTTCCAAGGACTTTACATTTTTAGTTAATTTAATTATCACAATACTATGAGATAGGCAGTATTATCCCCATTTAACAGATGAGACAATAGGGTGATGAAGCCACTTGCCCAGGGTCTCACAGACCGGAAGTGACACGAGATTCTCCGAAAGCAGATGACCTGACTCGAGAACTGCCACTACCCACAGCCCCACAGTGCTTCTCTGTGTTGTTGCGGCTTTTGCTTTCTAACCTGTAACGTTTGAGAGTCAAGGGAATATCAATGCTCCAGCCACCTCCTCATAGTGGAAGTAGTGAGGAGCAGAGAATGCAATTGAAATTTCAAAGACTTATCCTTCCATAACTTATGAGGACCTGGTAAACCATCAGGGGCTCATCTCTTGGGCTTCACATCTCTATACGTCTTTCCATTCTCCTCTCTCACCATTTCATTGTGTGCAGTCCCACTATACTTCATTTCACTACTTCTGAGGTCCTAATCTCTCCATTCAAGTGGCCAACTGGGACTAAAACAGCAATTCAGTCTCAGCTCCAAACTGCGGCGAGAGTCTGACATTCCAGCTGTTCGTCCCTTGTCCAGTTGACTGTGGTCAAGGACGATAATGACCTCACACAAACCCCAAATCTAGCCGTGGGCTCTCAGAGAAAGGCCATGACCTCAAAATGTGTCTCCTAGGCTTTATTTTAAAATAGAAGCACATGTACAAAATACAGGAGAAGGGAATCGCAGCCAAACAACAACAAATTATTAAACCCAAAAGAATATGGCCAGGAAGAGGAGAGGCTGGCAAAGTCGTAAATAATGCTCCTAAGGAAACAAACATAGATAAAGACTCACTTCTTTGGGCAGATAGTAAAATGTTAACGCATGAAAGAGAGAATAGTAAATGACTCAATTCCTCCTTTGCTTTACTGCCAAGGGGAATAATTCCTAACAATAAATGGTGGGAAAGCTATCTTTAAGAGGATACTTCCCCGAAGATAAAAGATAATAAGAGAGAATTTAATATGCTTTAAATGCATTTAAATTCTCAGAACCAGAATAATTACATCTCAGGGCACAGAATGTATTAATAAAATGTTGATAGAGCTGATGTTTCTGCTCTTTAAGAAATGATGGAGAAGCGGGGCTGGCCCAGTGGTGTAGTGATTAAGTTTGCATGCACTGCTTCCGTAGCCCAGGGTTCACACGTTCGGATCCCGTTCACGGACTAGCACCACTCATCAAGCCATGCTGTGGTGGCGTACCACGAAAAATAGAGGAAGATGGGCACAGATGTTAGCTCAGTGACAATCTTCCTCTAGCAAAAAAAGAGGAAGATTAGCAACAGATGTTAGCTCAGGGCCAATCTTCCTCACAAAGAAAAAAAGAAAAAGAAAAAGAAATGACAGAGAAGGAAAGTTAGGCTGGAAGACTAGGGGAGGGTAAACATTGTTCTGTTTTACCAATGAGGTAAAAAGGAGGGATTCTAGAAATATATCCTAATGAGATTTAAATTAGAGCAAGAAAAAACTGAAAGGAATTATCATTTAAAAGAGAGCTTGTAAACATTTATAAAATGAAAAGATAATTAGGAGTTATCAAAGGCTTATTTTATTAATTAATTTATTCATTTGTCAAAATATTTATTGAGTATGCAATACATGGCAGACACAGAGATTATAAAAATATGTAAGATTCGGCTTTACCGTCAATCTAGGAGCATTAACAAATATTCAGAATAAACTAGCCTCACTTTCTTTTTCGATACTTTGACCAGTCTGGTAGAACTGGTCAAATTTAAATTTCAGCAAACCCTTTGAAATGGATTCCAGTAGCTTATGGACAAGATCGAGTAATGTGGCCTGGCTGGTAGTTGTTAAATGTTTTCATAACTGGGTAAATCACCAGAGACAGAGGTGGTTGACTAATTGTCAGTCTTATCATAGTTTGAGCTTCTTTGAGGTAACCAAGCATATTGTTTCCCAGCTGGTGGGGGGAAGGAGTGAGCTGAAGGACCGTAGGCTCCTGTCACCGAGGTGGGACAGCACTGGAGGAAAGTAATGTGGCAATAGAGACTGGTGTTGGAATTTGAGCAGAGGTAAGTAATAGCACCCCCTTTTCCAGCACTTTGAGTTAGTTGAGAGATGTGTAAATACTAGGTGAAGGGAGAACCAAAATGCCACATTTATTACCAAGAAAAGTTGATATTGGTAAGTGTGACACATTTGCAGGCCGCCTGAATCCCTGATACTGACACCTAGAATTAGACAGATTCAGCCACCTTGTCACAGGCAGTGTTGGACGTGGGCCAGATTGCCCATGTGAGAGCCGCCTCTGCTCCATGTTTGGCGTGGTCCAAGAGGAAACAAGAGAGAAAGGCACTGGGTTACTCATGCCCAGTTTATTCTTCAAAAACCACAAATCTGATCAAGGAAGATAGTTAAGGCCAAGTGTGGGTTTCACTAGCTGAGCTACCTCCACATGGAAGGACCCATCAGGAGTAAGGAAGAAGTAGACCTTTCTTAACAATGAGCTCCGGAAGGAGCACATAGGCAGTTTATACTCAAGGGAACAAGTAGTCTATCATACTGCCAAAGATGGAGCGGTTGGCTCTAGGATATTCAATATGGTCAAGGACCCAGGTAGTGAGCAACAGTAAGCAATCAGATGGAGTCATGGGTCAAAAATCAAAGATGAGTTTCTAATCTTGAAAAAAAAAGAAATGGCAAAAATGAGCACTGATGTTAACTTAGTCAACAGTCTGTGATTCAGGGTAATTCCTTGTTCCAAGGGTGGGGCTTTCTGAAGAAACAGAAAGTCAGAATTTCTAGCACAGTGTGTCTTAATTTCTCAGCATTTGCAGACCACTTCATGGGGATTTGTGGCACACAAGGCACCAATTTTACGTTATCTATATCCATCTCGATAATGAATAGCTTGAGACAGATCTGAGTTCCAGAATCAATATATTTTTTTGCTCTTTATTCCTTCTAAATTGGAAGATTTTAATTCATTATTGTAAGGATATTTAGATAATTATGGATCTTCAAATAAAACGTTTACTCAGAAAGAATAGATTTATCACTGAGGATTGCTTTCCATGTTCCATTAGACATAAACACATCATATGCAAAGTTTTAACTTCGAACTAGTCTTTCAACTTAAAAGATGAATGCCAATTCATTCTTTGGTTGAATGTGTCTCTTGAAAATATTTCTACAAGGTTTGTGGAAGCATTTGGATGTGATTTTTTTCAAACATCATCAATAATATATCATCAGTTTCTCCCTCAGACAATGGAAGAAAATTATTAGCCATTATGATTGAAGAATTTCTTCACAGTTTGGTCTTAAGAAATTCTAATATCTTGTCCTGAACGTTAGAAATGATAATCCCTTAGCTCTGAAATGACAGATTATTGCAGATAATGACTCCAGTTTTGAAATACATCAGTCCATTCTACACAATTGAAGTAATCAAGTCACAAAGAAATGTTTTCTTTTTATCCTTAACTTAAAAAAATAAGGACATTTTGTTTTTTATCAAGCATGATGTGTCAGTATTGTTGAAAAAAATGGAGTTTTGTATTTGCCAATCATTTTTCCACACATCACGCTGAAAATATGCACATATATTGGCTATGATTCAATCACAGTAAACATTTCCAGTTCTTTTCAACCTTGGATCAAGATTGGGAGGCATATTGTTGCCTACTGATTAGTGTCTGTGAATAAAATATTCAAGAAAGTCTGTGTCCACTGTTGGTCTGGATGCCAGTGCATTTGGACAGTCTTCCTCATGGCTCACGAAAGTATTTTGATTTAAATGAAAAAAGTCTTCTGATGGCACAGGCTTCCAATGATAAAAAGTTGAAGACGTCTCTGTCATATATGCACTACACATATTCAAGGAGTTGATTCACACTCTGCATATCTGTGGTTTGATCTACATGTAAAGCAAAATTTATGCTGGAAATTCACACCTAGTAATTTCTCTTCACAATTTTTACCATTGATAGTATGTAACATCCAAAAGTGTCCTTTGATTAAAGAATTCTGCAAAATTTTCATTAACTTTCTGATTAGTTCAACAGGACTTTCAGCAATGGTGTGATTGGTACATATTTTGAATAATGCCTCTGGAGTTTTGAATTCTTTTCTACCTTCACTTATAAAATATAAACTTTACACAACCAGAAGGACCTACAACTAGAATATATAACTATGCACCAGGGAGGCTTTGGGGAGAGGAAGAAGAAGGAAAAAAAAGAGGAAGAAGATTGGCAACAGACGGTAGCTCAGGTGCCAATCTTTAAAAAATATATATATATATTTTAATAAAGATAAAATTTTATATAAACATAAAATTCACTTATATCATACTAGCAAGCATTATTTGGTGCAAGGACTGGGGGAAAAAACTTGACTGGATTACCAAAGAGGTCACTATTTTATTTGAAAATGGTTCATTTCTGTGGCTATCTGCCAGAATTTGCAAGGATTCAAAACTGACAGTTTCTTGGCAGGAGAAAAGCAAATAGATTGCAAGTTCAATAAAATACATTTTCAGATACTTATTATTATAGTTTATATTTATATTTTTTGGCTGAAGGTTTACTCTTCACTCTATGTTGTATAGAGACCTTTCCATAATTTATATTTATAATATTATTTTGTGTTTCTCTTCACTCTATATTGTATGGCGGTCTTTCCACAATTTACATTTATAATATCATTACTATTCTCATTACTTTTATGTTTCAAAGAAGTACTTTGAGTCAATGGTACATTTTTTAAAGGCCATTTTGGAACATAATGTACCATGGTAGCCTAACACTGAAAAATGAAAATTTAATAAATGTAAACAATCACCCCAAGGATGTAAATGATATAAAATGTTATATTATGGCCATGTGGTATGCATAAAACTTTTTAAGAATGTAGCGATTTTAAGCAACAATGAGATTTCTATACAAAGCGTAATTAATTATAATTAATTTGAAGAGTGTGAACAAAATAATTTCCTGGCTTTGATCTCTGACACTGTGGGCAGGGGGTGTACCCTCAGCACAGGGATGGGGATGACGGGATGGGAGAATAGGGAAGTCAGGACATGGAATGGGATGTGCTGTGACAGGAACAGGCATCCTGTCCTCTTAAGGATGCCCTCAGAATCGGGGCGGAAGGAAGGACCCAAAAGTCATGACTAGACCACCAAGTCCTGGAGTCTGAGAGAACGATTTAATAATAAGCCCCACCTATGAAAAGGGAGGGAAGAAGGCTATTGAATCTTGCTTCACCCTGTATCTTCTCAGGAGCTCAAGACAGGTGAAAACTGCCAGTGGCTCTAGTTTCCTGAACGTGGACTCAGCAGAAGCAAAGGAAATAAAGTCAGGCCATTATCCTATTAGCAGAATCTCAGATGCACTCAGAAGGGAAACTGATCCAGTCTACTGGGAAAGAGCTCATGTGAAGGACAAAAGCAGGACTCAGTATTATCCTGAGAGACTCGAATGAAGTGTCCGAATCAACCAAGGAAAATTGTGTAGGGTCACATGAAAATGTGTGTATTTAGTCTCTAAAAATGAACTGCATAAGTGTGGATGGGAAGGAGACCTAAACTGACGGAATTCTTGAAAGAACAAAAGGGAAGATATTTGTAGGACCACAAATTCAGTGGCACCAATTCAGCATCTAAAATATTAACGAAACGGCAGGCTACACTAATCATCGTGTTCAGACATAAATATGTAACGAAGAAGTAATAATAATGGCTTATAATTTCACAATATACCGTTAGCAAAAGATTTTCACACTTTTTGTGTTTTCCCATTGCACTTTGCATAATTTAGTCCAAAATGGGATAGTTTTTGTGGTCATTTATTAAAAGATAATAGCACTTTAAGAGTTGTGTTCATGAGGTTGTCATAAAGAAATTAGATAAGATATGGGAAGTCAACACAGAGCCTGGTACACGGTGAGCAGCTTCATAAATAACAATAGAATCAAAAAAGAGTTGAATCCGTTGGGGTAAATGGGAGCAGGAGGATAATATTTACCTAAATTATTTTATCCAATTTAATCTTCCCTATAACCCCATAAGCTTGGTTCTACATTCTGCTCACTGGCTGACTGCTGCATATCCTCAAGGGCTTACTTTAAATGTCACTTCTTAGGGGAAGTCTTCACAGCTCTCACCCCAGTCCCCAAACAAGGTTAGATGATTCTGTTCGATGCTCCCCTTTAATTCTGTCATTTCTACCTCATGGCACTTATCTCAACTGCTTGTTAATGCTTATTTAATTATCTCTAGTCCCCACTGGATCCCTGCTTTACGAAGGTAGTGACTGTG